ATTGTACTGCTTGTAGTCTCAAAGAATAAATAATTTACTCATCAAAAATGCTTCTCTTAAAATTACTATCATCTCTAATTATATAAATAGCTTTTCAACTTTTAATGTAATGCATAATTTCAGAAGTGTGAATTGAGAGTCACGGGGCCTCTTCTCAGTTCCCGAAACATTCTTCATTATGCAGCAGTGAAAAATCATTTACGGGCTGGGAGTTTGGTGCGGCAGTTAGGGGACCACTTGGGATCCTGAATCTCCTATCAGAGTGTGTCAGTCCAGGCCCTGGCTCCCCTTCCAGTTCCTGCTTCCTGCCCATGTGCAGCTCATGATGCAGCCGGTGATGCATGATTTGGTCCCTGACACCCATGTGGGAAACCCTGCACTGAACTCTGCGCTCCAGGCCTGACCATCCCAGTCCTAACTGTTACAGGCATTTTGGAAGGGATCCAGCAGAAGGAAAAGCTCTGTCTTTCTGTCTCTCTGACTTTCACGTAACAAAAACAAACATTTTTTAAAAATCTTTTAAAGATAGACTCTAGCTGGAACACTGAATTTACATGAATTATTCTATCTTTTTCCTGGATTTCTCGGCCACCATTTTTTAAATCCTGTCATTTCAAAAGTTATATTTTTTTCTGTGTAGAAGAACATGAGCAAAATAAACATATCAGTATTTTAGAAAAGTGAAGAATTGCTTATCATTTTAAAGTGTTAATAGGATTCTATAAGATAATTTAATTATAAACTCAGCATCTTTTAAATAAAGGATTAGGGGCTTTTCTGAAAAGCTATGTGCCTTAACGAGAGGTCCTCATAAAGTTGATGAAAAAAAATTTTTTATGAAAAAACTACTCATGGATTTCAACTTTTTGGACCAAGATAAGCTTTTGTCTTTTCATTTCATTTCATATGAAAATGTGTAAGTTCTCCTACACAAGCCAGATAAGAGATTAAATTTCCTCCAAAATAGGATATATTTTAATTTTCTCATTGATGTTAATTGTGTAGCCTTAAGTTACTACATATTTCAAAGTGGTCATTTTGATAACCTGAGTCTACTGAGTTAAATCTCTTGAAAATAATAGTCAATATTAAGCATTATACTTGATCAGTGGTCTACAAATAATATTGCAAAATAATAATCGATGTAAATGACATTAATCACAATAATCTGGTAATTAATAAAGATGCATGGGCATTTGAGCAATTGATTTTAACTTACAGATGTGTTGATGAGTTACAATTCACATTTACATCCATAATTGTAAGAAACAGAAACAACAAATTGCTCTATTCCATTTTCTAGTAACTAGCTCATAGTTAACACTAATTGCTCAACTCTTGAGTTTTGCAAAAATTAGCATGATAAAGCAGGCATGATTTTACAGATTTAATTATAATTTTGTGGTTATCTGCTAATAATTATACTTGATTTTATTTTTTGAAATACTTTGCATTCTAAATTCTGTTCATCAATGGACAACTTTATTCAACATTTGTTTAAGATTTAAATGTCTACTAGTTTTCATTTTAATTGCAAATTGCATTAGCAAATCAATGAAACTGTGGACCATGATACCTTTAAATTGGGTTCTTTAAAATATGATAACAATGCATTGGAGCTGGTGTTTGGGCTAATGAGTTAAGCTGCTGCCTGCAATGCCAGCAGTCCCATATGGGCGAGGGTTTCAGAGTCCTAGCTCTTCCACTGCCAATTCAGCTGCCTGCGAATGTGCCTGGGACAACAGCAGAAGATGGCCCAATCTTTGGGCCCCTGCACAATGTGGGGGGCACACATGAAACTCCTGGCTTTGGCCTGGCCTAGCCCTGGCAATTTTGGTCATTCAGAGAGTGAATCAGCTGACAAAAGCTATTCCTCTCCCTCTCCTCCTCTCTCTCTCCCTCTCTCTCTCCCCCTTCCTGTCCCCCTCCCTCTCCCTCTCTTCCTTCCTCCCTTTCTCTTTCTCTGTAACTCTGCCTCTCAAACAAAATGAATCTTTCAAAAAATTACAAACAACATATCACATCTTAAGAAATTTAGTAAAAGAGTTCAGCTCTTGGTTTCAAGGATACCACAGAAGCACTTTGCACTGAATCATGTAGCCACTACAAGCACTGCAAGAAGTGGTTGTCCTTGGTTGTAGCCTCCCCACCTCCTCCCCGACAGCTTCTCCATCTCTCATCTCCTAACTTCCCTCTATGCACTTGCAATCTTAGTCACTCTTGGAATTAGAGAGATACTATTTATTTGTGCAAGGACACATCTGATAATTAAACCAAATAAAGGATACTGTACCCCAGCAAAATGCAGTCCTGTGAGTGCACATTTAGTGCAAGGCCTCTGTACAACTCTAGAAGGCATCTGACTCCATTCTTGCTGAAATACAACATAGTAGCACAAAGCCTTTCTCTGGCCTCTTCACAGTAACTGGCATCGTGACTAATCCTAGTCTGTGGGAATTACCAGTCATATAAAATCACACCTGCTTCAGAAAGAAGTTCTGGTCTGGCCTAAATTGAAGCCAGGAAGCTCTAACTGCCCTCCTTGCTTTCCCATGCCTCGCCACCTACTCTTGCATTCCTTGCTCACATCTGTGCCCATCTTCTTAGCAATGTGGCTGCTGGCTGGCCCCCAGTCAATCTCCCCTGATCTCAATTACATCACAAACCACAGACACTTTTGTGTGCAACCCATTCCCATATCATTTTGACCCTCATGGCCCCTGGATCCCTTCCCCATCCTGTTTTACAATACACACAGCCTTTGAAGCTCTTCCCACTCTGTACTTGGGGACTCCTCTCCATGATAATGGAGAAAGGGCATTCCCTGGAACCCTGTCAGTGTAAGGCCACAGACTTTTTCCCCAGAGCTGCTGCTACATCACTCACTTTCTGTAAAAATCACCTCTCCTTTGAGGTTCATTTCTACCATCTAGCTATATGATAAGCTTCCACAAATTGTTATTTCCTGTTGTATCACCAGAGTCTAAGAATGGAGCTTATGTACAACATTATGTCACATTGAAACATGTGGTTTTTCTGATACGTACTTCTATTGTACAAAACTAGAATGATGTACAAATACCCATTGGCTTTAGACATGAAGTGCATATGAATCTTTCTTACATAGGGTGAGTACAAAATCTCTATTCTGTAATTGCATTTGGTTCTGCACAAACAAAAAATCAATAACCATATAATAAACACTTATAACAGTGATTTCTTCTACCAGAAAATAGAGTTGGATTTAACTTACTGTTTATATCACTGAAATTGATTTCCAAAAAAGTCTATTTCTCTTCAGCATCCTCAAATTAAATGTCTCCAAAAATAATCTACCTTTCAAAAAATTTAAATTAACTGAATATCTGCATTTGTGCTGGTTGTATTTTTATTTATACAGCAAAAATACTACTTATATACTTGATTTCCCAATATAGCCGAAGTCAAACATTGGATTAATTCTCTCTTACAGTTTGTATCTATGGATGCCAGTTTCCCAAGCCCTTTTACTAGCAAAACTGAAGACATGTACTCCAGGACTTTGCAATGCCGTTTGCGTATCCTTTATGTAAAGATATTTACACAGTGTCTTCTCTAATCTCCAATATATCCTGAGCAAATCATGGATTTTTGGAATAATTTTCCTTCCCTTCCCCAAATTCTGAAGCAATGATTTTTCAACTAACATACAAAAAAAAAAAAAAAAACATGCACATTTACTTTATTCTCATCAAGCAATAAACTGTTATAGCTAATAGCTGTTTTTTGCATTAACTATTAAATGTTAAGACTTGAAACACCAGTAAAGCTCTTTAAATTTTATTTTGCAACTATTAACTTAGTCCAGGATCACACTGTGCTGATGTTTTGCTTTATTAGTTTTACAAGGGCCATTGGCCACACAAAATAACATGTGACCTAAACTGCCAGAGAAATGTGTCTGGAAATCTACAGTTTGGAAGTCTATCAGCAGTGTCTTCTTTCTCTCTCTCTCCCTCTGCCTGTCCTTGTCTTTCAAATTAGAGCTTTATTATTCTGCTCATTTCTCAGTTTTGTTAAATCAATAATGACAAATATTTTTGGTGAATAGTTCATGTTAATCTTTATTTCTAGATAAGGGCATATTTGGACTTCTAGAAATCTATAACTAAACACTTACACCTTGAATTTAATATAAAAATACTGGAGAAAATACTTATAAAACTAAGACTTATTAATGATATTTTGTGCCATGACCACTTTTAGCTAATAAAGTCCCCTTTGCAGATAGTATTTTTAAATACACAAAAAAGAAAAAGAAGAATTGTAAAATCAATTAACCTTCAAAGACAAAGTTTTAACCACATATACCTTATGGAGCAGTTTGTATACTCCAGGATCTAGAATAAACTTAACACAGTTGAAGCATATTTCTTCTTTTTTTTTGTTTCTTTTTTGACAGGCAGAGTGGACAGTGAGAGAGAGAGACAGAGAGAACAGTCTTCCTTTTTGCTGTTGGTTCACCCTCCAATGGCCGCCATGGCCGGCGCACCGCGTTGATCCGATGGCAGGAGCCAGGTACTTATCCTGGTCTCCCATGCGGGTGCAGGGCCCAAGCACTTGGGCCATCCTCCACTGCACTCCCGGGCCACAGCAGAGAGCTGGCCTGGAAGAGGGGCAACTGGGACAGAATCCGGCGCCCCGACCCGGACTAGAACCCGGTGTGCTGGCGCTGCAAGGCGGAGGATTAGCCTAGTGAGCCGCAGCGCCGGCTGAAGTATATTTCAATTACAGTTGGCCCTGAAAAACTGTAGGCAAATGTTCAAGGAAAAAAATTGCATCAAAGTACCTACAATTTTGTATGAAATACAGTATGTAATATATAAACAAAGGAAAGTTAGAAATATGTTTTATAAAGCCTTATAATACCATTGTCTTAATGCAATAACAAAGGATGGAGAAGTATGTTTTGGCAATGGGAAAGCAGGGAACGAGCGAGTTGGGTCTGAGCGCATTCGTACCTTTATGGCAGTGGACGCGATTTGGATGTGGTGCAGTCTCCGGAGGGTGCTGTCCCTGTCAATGAAGTAGGAAGCAGCCAGCTGATGCAGCGTCTCCAGAGTGACCGAGGAGCTGTTGGTGCCGGGGTCGCTCCCTTCAGATCGTCTGCTCAGCTTCCGCTTGTCCACAAAAATTGTGAGTGACTCCTCTCCTGTGTTAATGATATTGCAGATTATTTCACTTTCTACCTGAAATCCATTATCACCTGCATGCAACTGGGAAGTCTAGATTATGAGCATAATTAAACGAGTGATTAAACACTGAAAGAGCAGGACTTTTTACATTTTATGTTCTTAAACAACCCTCAAGTAACTAGAAAATTTCCTGGGATCTTGAAGGCATTAAATATATGCCATGAATGTGAGGTATTCAGCTTTGGCAGAAGAATTTCTTTAGGTCTCACTAAATTTCTAATACAGTTTAGCTTACCTAACACTCATATGGCTCAGAAGAAAAATAAGATAACATGTAAAATAAACTTAGATGGAGTACATCCTATGAAACTGTATTCACTCAGAAATTTTTACCACAGAGCTGTATTTAAAACTGAAAACATGGCAAAGTATTAGCAGTTGTCAATTTTGATTTAAAATATGGATAAATATATATACATATATACACAAAAATATTTAGAAGCATCCTGCCTACAATATATAAAAACAGTGCATATTAATCAACCCTGTGGAAATCACCAGAGTCCATGGGAACTTTAGATAGCAACAATAAACTTTTAAGGGTGAAATGTAAACTATATTATATTTAATCCAATTTTTAATGCCAGTGAACAATATCCATATAATTCAAAATAGACATGGAGAACTGCGATCCTCCAGCTGCCAGGCTATTGGCTATTGGCTGGCAAGCAACTGTGGAACATGGCATCTTCCTCTGCAGAGCCCACCTGCTCAGGTACACCTGCCGATGTACAAAGTGACAAGCCAGTTTTTTTTTTGTTTGTTTGTTTTTTGTTTTTTGTTTGTTTGTTTTTTTTTTTTTTTTTGACAGGCAGAGTGGACAGTGAGAGACAGAGAGAAAGGTCTTCCTTTGCCGTTGGTTCACCCTCCAATGGCCGCCGCGGCCGGTGCACTGTGCTGATCCGAAGGCAGGAGCCAGGTACTTATCCTGGTCTCCCATGGGGTTCAGGGACCAAGGACCTGGGCCATCCTCCACTGCACTCCCTGGCCACAGCAGAGAGCTGGCCTGGAAGAGGGGCAACCGGGATAGAATCTGGCGCCCTGACAGCAACTAGAACCCGGGGTGCCGGCGCCACAAGGCGGAGGATTAGCCTATTGAACCGTGGCACCGGCTGCCAGTTTTGTTAAAGGTCAGATAAGACTGCCTACCAAACAGCTTGCATTTCAACTGTAAAATGACATAGCCCTGGTGACGATCCAATCCCAACCAAGAGTTCATAATTATTTTTTTAACTTTTATTTAATGAATCTAAATTTCCAAAGTACAGCTTATGGATTACAATGGCTTCCCCCCCATAACGTCCCTCCCACCCGCAACCCTCCCCTTTCCCACTCCCTCTCCCCTTCCATTCACATCAAGATTCATTTTCGATTCTCTTTATATACAGAAGATCTGTTTAGCATATATTAAGTAAAGATTTCATCAGTTTGCTCCCACCCAGAAACATAAAGTGAAAAATACTGTTTGAGTACTAGTTATAGCATTAAATCTCAATGTACAGCACACTAAGGACAAAGATCCTACATGAGGAGTAAGTGCACAGTGACTCCTGTTGTTGACTTAACAAATTGACACTCTTGTTTATGGCCTCAGTAATCACCCTAGGCCTTGTCTTAAGCTGCCAAGGCTATGGAAGCCCCCTGAGTTCACTGACTCTGATCAGATTTAGATAAGGCCATGGTCAAAGTAGAAGTTCTCTCCTCCCTTCAGAGAAAGGTACCTCCTTCTTTGATGACCCGTTCTTTCCACTGGGTTCTCACTCGCAGAGATCTTTCATTTAGTTGTGGTTTTTTTTTTTTTTTTTTTTTTTTTTTCCCCAGAGTGTCTTGGCTTTCCATGCCTGGAATACTCTCATGGGCTTTTCAGCCGGATTCCCATGCCTTAAGGGCTGATTCTGAGGTCAGAGTGCTGTTTAGGACATCTGCCATTCTATGGGTCTGCTGTGTATCTCACTTCCCATGTTGGATCATTCTCTCCCTTTTTTATTCTATCAGCTAGTATTTGCAGACGCTATTCTTGTTTATATGATCCCTTTGGTTCTTAGTCCTATCATTATGATCAGTTGTGAACATAAATTGATCACTGGGACTAGTGAGATGGCATTGGTACATGCCACCTTGATGGGATTGAATTGGAATCCCCTGGTATGTTTCTAACTCTACCGTTTGAGGTAAGTCAGCTTGAGCATATCCTGAATTGCACATCTCTTCCTCTTACAAGATTATCAGGTCATCCACTATCAGTGTAAAGGCACTAACATTTTTTTCAGACAAATCACTTTCCCTGTAGTATCTATGCCTCCAAATATATCCTAGAAAATGAATAGACCAACTACACCAGCTACAGGAAAACCGTCCCTGGAGAACATGAACCTGTGGGTCTGCTCATGCGCTGCGTTGGGTCATGAGCACAATGAACATCTTGTTGCGGAGCATCTGAGGTAGACAGGAGCCAAATGTAATGGCCACTGGATCTCAGGAAAATTCACCCATGTGCTAAGTTGTGAGGAAGTAGGAAGCAAACCCTCTGCACCCTGAAACACAAAGGAGGGTGGGGCGTGAGGGTCTCGGAACTCACGATGCAGCTCCATCACTTGTACAGGCGATAGGTTGTACCAAATAAGAGTGAAAATAAGGTGGTAAATACTTAGTGCTAATTATAAACAAAAACGAGGCAACACTGATGATCTTGATATCAAACATTGTAGAATTCTGGCCAAAATCATTTAATGAGGAGAAAGAAAAATACTGCAGAGTATGATTCATCTGATCTTGCAAATCTGTGACAATGGTAACCCCATTAGAAAGCAGAAAACAGAGCAGCAGTAACACACACTGCTACTATTAGAATTCAATACATATTTTCTAGACCTATATCCATCTGGCGTGGGTAAGACCTAATGGGGAAGAGCGCTGACACCTATGTAATGAGGTAGAATTCATCAGTAAATATCAAACCTCGTATTGATTGTAGACAACAAGCCTTTATTTTTAAGAGTACAGGTATTTACAAAACGGTGACCATGGGGCCGGCGCTGTGGCACAGTGGGTTAAAGCCCCAGCCTGCAGCGCCGGCATCCCATATGGGCACCGGTTCAAGACCCAGCTGCTCCACTTCTGATCCAGCTCTCTGCTATGGCCTGGGAAAGCAGTAGAAGATGACCCAAGTCCTTGGGCCCCTGCACCCACGTGGGAGACCAGGAGGAAGCTCCTAGCTCCTGGCTTGGGATCGGCACAGTTTCGGCCGTCGCAGCTAGTTGAGGAGTGACCCAGCGGATGGAAGACCTCTCTCTCTCTCTGGCCTCTCTTCTCTCTGTGTAACTCTGTCTTTCAAATAAATAAATAAATAAATATTTGAAAAAAGATGATAAAATGATAAAAAGAAATGATTTTAAGTTATGAAAATTTAAAATAAATATAGTATTATTCACTGACTACATTATAAAATAAATAACTAATAGAAACCATAGATATTTTTATATGGATAATATATAGCTATCTGGAGACCATACATACAACACACATCATATAAAGCTGCAATTTATAAATATGGATGTAAAACCACAAATAAACCAATAGCAAAAAGACCACAGCAGTAAATTTTAAAACAATCATATCTCATGATTCAGTAGGATAATCCTAGCAGGCAAGAGGATTCAGTATTAGGAAAATATTAATGCAATTTAGGAGAGTAACATGAAAAAACATTATGTCTATTAATGATTAATATATATTATAAATATAATCATAATTTCTGGCAAACTGGAATTAATACATTAAAAGTAATTTTATAGTTCCTTAAAAGGTAAAATACATGAACATCACCTTATGAGACAGTATCTTACTTACTAGGAAAATGCATCAGGTAGTCGCATTAAAATCAGAACCAGACAAACACATCCAGAAGAAGCAGTCCTGGTTAATCAGTAATAAAGTCAAATAGAGGAGGGAAGGCAAAGTCGAGCAACAGTGTTGGAAATAACACGGAACAATGTGTTTCTTTGTATATGATGATTATTTCTTTGTGTATGATGATGTTGGGGAGAACACCAACAATGAAGGGATGAGCTGCTGCAATCAGAACTTACAAAGATAGAAGCAAACAATGAAAACTATGCATTGAGTAGACAAAAATATACAATATTAACTAGTGACAAGAAATAACGGGTTAAGATATGTCATTTAAAGCAGCAAGAAAAATGAAAAATCTGTATGTGTAAAATTATAAGCCATTCCTGGAAGAAGTTGTAAAAATAGCTTCTCATAAATGACAAAATGTCTTGTTCTGAACGGGAATATTCTATATGAAAATATATCAGCAGCTGGCATTGCAGAATAGTGAGTAAAGCTACCTACCTATGATTCTGGCATCCCATTTGGGCAGCTGGCTCCTCCACTACTGATCTAGCTCCCAGCTAATGTTCCTGGGAAAACAGCAGAAGATGGGCCAAGTACTTGGGCCCTTCTACTCAAGTAGGAGACCAAGAATAAGCTCCTGACTCTTGACTTAGGACTGGCTCAGCTTCAGCAGTTGTGGTCATTTGGGGAATGAACCAGAGGATGGAAGACCTTTCCCTGTCTCCTTATCTGTCTCTCTAACTCTGCCTTTCAAATAAATATTCTTTAAATATATATATTAATTTTAGTTCACATATAATTATAATATAATGTGATTAAAAGACCAGTTTACTTTTTGTTTTCTGGAATTAGTCATGTCAGTTATAAATTTGAATGAAAAAAATCAATCAACCCTCACCAGGAAAATTTTTCAAACAAGGAAAGACCAAAAGCACTTAACCATATCTGAATGGTGTTGCATAAATTTTTGTAATGAAAATCATGTAGTATTGATGCATGAATAGGCATACAAATATAAAATCCATAAAAATAATAAATGCATGTGGACATTTATCAAATAATAAGGACTGGATATAATTTTTAAGATTTAGTTATTTAT